TTCCGTGGTTATCTGGGTGCATGTTGTTGACTGAGACTCTACCTGCCAGCGGACTGTCTTGCCAGAGTGGTGCACGCTCTAGTTATATCCTGCTTGGACTACTGCAATGCACTCTACGTGGGGCTACCTTTGAAGGTGACCCGGAAACTGCAATTAATCCAGAATGCGGCAGCTAGACTGGTGACTGGGAGTGGCCGCCAGGACCACATAACACCGGTCCTGAGAGATCTGCATTGGCTCCCAGTACATTCTGAGCACAATTCAAAGTGTTGGTGGTGACCTTTAAACCCCTAAACGGCCTCGGTCCTGTATACCTGAAGGAGCATCTCCACCCCCATCATTCGGCCCAGACACTGAGATCCAGCGCCAAGGGCCTTCTGGCGGTTCCCTCACTGCGGGAAGTGAGGTTACAGGGAACCAGACAGAGGGCCTTCTCGGTAGTGGCGCCTGCCCGGGGGAACGCCCTCCCTTCAGATGTGAAGGAAATAAGCAGCTATCCTATCTTCAAAAGACATCTGAAGGCTGTCAGGGAAGTTTTTAATATTTAATGCTGTATTGTTTTTAACACTTGATTGGAAGCCGCCCAGAGTGGCTGGGGAAACTCAGCCAGATGGGCAGGGTATAAATAATAAATAAATAATAATTATTATTATTATTGACTTGAGGCAAATTTAGAAGGAAATTCCACTTTATTGTGTAAAACTTTCTTTTGCCTAACAGTGCAATGATTCCATGGACTATGAAGTCCCTATTAAGGCTGTTTACACAATCCTATTTACTCTGCATCCACTATGCTCCCATCGCTGGTTTGGGAAGCTACGTACACACAATGTCAGCCACAGTCCATATCTATCCTGCAACTCTCTTAGTTTCTTAAGAAATACAGTGGTACCTTGGTTCTCAAATTTAATCTGTTCCGGGAGTCCGTTCGACTCCCGAAACTGTTCGAAAACCAAGGCAAAGCTTCCAATTGGCTGCATGAGCTTCCTGTACTCAATTGGAAGTTGTGGAAGCCGCGTCGGACATTCGGCTTCCGGAAAACTTTCGCAAACCGGAACACTCACTTCTGGGTTTGCAGCGTTCGGGAGGCGATTTGTTCGGGAGGCAAGCCGTTTGAGTACCAAGGTGCCACTGTACTGCATTTTCATGCATCTCCCCATCCCAAACCAGCTTCAATCCCGATTGAGGAAAAGAACCATCTAGCTGCATTTTAAGCAGGGAAGGGGTACACAGCTTAATTTAGGCAATCTTGCATTTGCAAATCTGCATCTAACAAGAGCCACAGAAAAGCACCTGGTTTGATCACTGACTCTTAACAATTCATAGATGTGATAAATTGACTGGTTCCTGATCTCAGGACTCCAAACAACTACCCTCCTCCCTATTTTGCTTTATTTTAAAGTAAGGTCAAACTGGAAAGGTTCATTTGAGGGTATCTTAAAGACTCACAAGTCAAAGGGTGAATGGAAAGGACTTGCTTTATACAATCTAAGGATTCCCTGTATCAAATTAAGGATCATATAGAAGATCTATGAATAGCTGAAGCCAGTTTGGATTGAGCTTCATTGGCAACAGCTGACCACAACTGATTTGAACCCACTCCTTCCCCTTATTATTTCCTTTGCTAAGCAAGCATTTGGATGGTGGAATCCTCCAAGCTGCATTCACAGCTCCCCATTTAATCCTACAAGGAGGCTGATATGCAAATAGATAACTTGGGAGATACCAGTTCTTGAAATTTGCATGTGCTAATGGGAACCCCAGGGCTTAATCTGAGCTCAGCAGGGCCCCAGGAATCTCTTTCCCCCAATATTATTTTATTTGTCCATTTAACATATTTCTCAAATCACCCAACCCTCATGGAGAGGATTCTACGGTGGTATGCAAAGGTGTGAGTGAAGCTAGCCACACAACGTACAAATGCATTATTATTTTTAAAGTATGTGCAGCAAAAATAAGAGGGAGAATAAAGAATGGAGGAAGGCAAAATATCAACAAGATTGTCATCTAAATACCTGGGCAAAGAGGAAGAACCTGGCCACAGACCAAAAAGTTTGCAATGTTGTAATGTTGATGCGGGACGCGGGTGGCGCTGTGGGTAAAACCTCAGCGCCTAGGACTTGCCAATCGCATGGTCGGCGGTTTGAATCCCCGCGGCGGGGTGCGCTCCCGTCGTTCGGTCCCAGCGCCTGCCAACCTAGCAGTTCGAAAGCACCTCCAGGTGCAAGTAGATAAATAGGGACCACTTACCAGCGGGAAGGTAAACGGCGTTCCGTGTGCTGCGCTGGCTCGCCAGATGCAGCTTGTCACGCTGGCCACGTGACCCAGATGTGTCTGCGGACAGCGCTGGCTCCCGGCCTATAGAGAGAGATGAGCGCACAACCCTAAAGTCTGGCAAGACTGGCCCGAACGGGCAGGGGTACCTTTACCTTTACCTTTAATGTTGATGCAGGATGTGGATTTTTGAAGGGGGGTATTCCAAAGTTATGGTTTTCCCAGTAGTGATGTATGGAAGTGAGAGCTGGAACATAAAGAAGGCTGACCACCAAAGAATTGATGCTTTTGAATTATGGTGCTGGAGGAGACTCTTGAGAGTCCCATGGACTGGAAGAAGATCATACCTATCCATTCTTAAGGAAATCAGTCCTGTGTGCTCACTGGAAGGACAGATCCTGAAGCTGAGGCTCCAATACTTTGGCCACCTCATGAGAAGAGAAGACTCCCTGGAAAAGACCCTGATGTTGGGAAAGATTGAGGGCAAAGGAGAAGGGGATGACAGAGGACGAGATGGTTGGACAGTGTTGTCAAAGCTACCAGCATGAGTTTGACCAAACTGTGGGAGGCAGTGGAAGACAGGAGTGCCTGGCGTGCTCTGGTCCATGGGGTCATGAAGAGTTGGACACAACTAAACGTCTAAACAACAACAAATTCCAAGCGCAGAAAAGACCCTTTCCTTTTTGAATAAATTATGTAGTTCAGCTAAAACAGGGTACCTGGTGAATACCTGGTTCAGACCTGGAATATGTAAAGTATTCTTTAAAAAATAAACAAAAAAAGGTGAGGGAGCCTCTGCTCATATGCAAGATGTGTTTTGTTCACCAACAAGTAATGACATCAACTCACAAATATCTGGTGTTATGAGGAAAGCAACCTCACAGTATAAGCAATATCCACAGCATTTAAAAAATATTATGGAAGCTCATCAGTTAATTCTGTGAGCACCAGAGACTTAGCTTGCCCTGGATCACTGCTATATTTTATTTTTGAAGATTTGTACTGCTATTTTAATGTTTTTTTAAAATGTGTAACTTACCTTGGAATGCTGTCTGAAAGGTGGTAAATTGAATACCTAAGTAAATAAATAATTGCTATATATCAGTGGGTGAATTTTAAGAACAGCCAAATGGGCAAAACATTTGTTTGCAACAAACAGAGGCATCCTGTTATCAGTGTTCTCCATCAAGATTCTTTTACTGCAATTAGCTACAGAGGTCATTTTCAAAAAAAAGACTTTGAAATGATTTTAAATGTAATGAATGATGAAGGGCAATGGAGTTTTCTCAAAAGATAAATATTCACGAAAATGTTAGTTTCAGAAAGGGGTCTGCTAATAGAAGGAGTTATTTTTGCCTTCAGAAACATAATTATGTGCTTTGTTATTTTGTTTTAAACAAAATTATTCCCTTCCTTTCTATACATACACACACACACACAGTCAATGCAGTAGGTGATTAGGTACAGCAAATAGTCAGACCATTTGAAGATTAAGAAATATAACACTGATTCTAAGAGTTCACGGTCATCCAGTAAACATTTTAGTTACAAAATGGGGGGGGGGGGGGAGATTGAATCTAGATTAAGGTAGGCTTTGGCTCCACCGAAATCAATGGGACCAGAATATTGGAGCAGAATTGGGAAGAAAAAGCAGAATATAATGATTCTTAATCTTCCTACATTTAATTGGAACATGCTGCACAATTGTATTGTTCTCCTTTGTAAAATTATGATACTTTGGTTGAATCCAGACTCTGGACTTTATCCAATGTTTATTCATACTCGTGGGAGTGGAGGAACCTATCGAAATGAATGAATGTAATAAAGTTAGGTCCATTAATTTCAATAGGTCCATTAATTTCAATGGGTCTACTCTGAGTAAAGTTTGCTAGCTCCCACCCTAAGGATACAATCCTAGCTCCTGGCTGGTAGCGATGGGGCTTGATAAAGTGGTGATCAGTGTGCAAGCCAACCAGGACAGTAAGACAGGGGGTCTCAGGAAAACAAAATACTCCTTTGCTGTGCAAGCTCCAGGGCTGGTGCAGCGAAGAGGCCTGGATCAGTCCCACTGTTGTCATGAGGTGGCTGCAATGTCCACATGTGTTGACCAGCTACTACGCCAAGCCCCCAGACATCCCATTTTGGGAGGTTTTGCCATCTGCCACCACTGGGGATTGCACCAGTAGCAGCTCCTGGCTGCCCATCATTTTGGCAGGCACATTCAGTGCTCCTTGCCTATGGGGACTTCACTGACACCTCTGGAGCTCCCCAGCTGATGGATCCTGGCAAGGAAGGCTGGAAGGACACCGCTGCTTCATCTACACCTCCTCTAGCATGACACACTGAGGGTTTGGGTTGCTCTGTGCGTCTCCAGAAGCAGCTTATGTCTTCATTTCTCAACTCAGGAATTGCTCTGACGAGATGCTTGGCTTGATTTCATGCTAAATGAAATCATGCTCAAGCGATGTCAACTTGAATAAAATATGGGGGGGGGCACAGGTAAGCCCCGCCCAGCATAATCAATCACAAGATGTGGCACATGTACCATTTGGATGGCAATGCCCATCAGCTTTGGGGGTGCCTGTCCCCTTCAAATATTTTACTGCGGGGCAGAAAGGACCTCGGCCCCTAGGAGTTGGGACCAGTTAGTTAGCATCATATAATTGTAGAGTTGGAAGGGACACTGAGGGTCATCTAGTCCAACCCCCTGCAATGCAGGACTCTCTTGCCCAACGTGGGGCTTGAACCCACGACCCTGAGATCTCGTGCTCTACTGACTGAGCTATCCAGTCATCTTATTTGGGTTTTGTGACTATCTTTTTATGGGTCCAATCGAAAGTATATTATTTTTACATGGGTGTGCTAATAACAACAACAACAACAATAATAGACGTTATAAAACAAGTGAGGGAAGGGGAAGGAAGACATTAACTTCTACATTTGCTTCCCAATTCTGTAGCTTGTGAGAAGCCAATAGGAATATGTAGGGGTCAAAAATGTATAAGACAAGTACAAATACCTGCTGGAAACGTGAAGAAAAAGAAGGTACCTTTTATCATATGCAGTGGTTGCGAAAGATAATAAAAGCATTCTGGGAAATGATATATAATGAATTGAAAAAAATGTTTAAAATAACCTTTATAAAAACCAGAAGCTTTTTTATTAGGAATTGTGGGTTCTGATATCCTAAACGAGCAGAAAAGACTTCTTGTATATGTGACAATAGCCGCATGGATGCTACTAGCCAGAGATGGAAAGAGGATGAAGTCCCTACCAGAGAGGAATGGCTAACTAATCTGATGGACTACGCCAAAATGGCAAAACTGCCCAGAAAACTCAGGAATCAAGAAGACAAAAACTTCAATAAAGAATGGGAAAATTTTATAATTTATTTAGGAGACCACTGTAAGCAGATGAAAACCTTGGCAGGATTCTTATAACACTTGTAATGTAGCAAATATTATGGACAAAATGGAGAGGTATAAAATATGGATTATGAAATAATATGCAGCTGAGAAAGTTGACAATAGGACCCATGTAGGGGAGGGTGGGAAGTCTGGAGATTCAGAGAAATCTCTAAATATGGATATGTATTTGGTTTTGTTATAACTCGACACTTGTAAAATCAAATAAAAATCATTTCCAGAAAACAAAAAAAGGATTATGTAGGGGTCACAGTAATGCACTCAGCCTCATGAGGATCACAGGTGCACCACAACACAGTTCTTTTCAAAGGGAACAATACTTACGAGGCTAAGGGATGCAGGTGGCGCTGTGGTCTAAACCACTGAGCCTAGGGCTTGCTGATCAGAAGGTTGGCAGTTCGAATCCCTGCAATGGGGTGAGCTCCCATTGCTTGGTCCCTGCTCCTGCCAACCTAGCAGTTTGAAAGCACATCAAAGTGCAAGTAGATAAATAGGTACCGCTCTGGCGGGAAGGTAAATGGCATTTCCGTGTGCTGCCCTGGTTTGCCAGAAGCGGCTTAGTCATGCTGGCCACATGACCCGGAAGCTGTACGCTGGCTCCCTCAGCCAATAAAGCGAGATGAGCGCCGCAACTCCAGAGTCGGCCACGACTGGACCTAATGGTCAGGGGTCCCTTTACCTTTATACTTACGAGGAAGATCTTTTTGCATGTACAGTGGTACCTCAAGTTACAAACGCCTCAGGTTGCAAACGTTTCAGGTTACAAACTCTGCTAACCTGGAAGGGTTCCCTTGAGTTGAGAACTTTGCCCCAGGATGAGAACAGAAATCGTGTGCAGCGGCAGCAAGAGGCCCCATTAGCAAAAGCACGCCTCTAGTTAAGAACAGTTTCAGGTTAAGAACAGACCTCCAGAACGAATTCAGTTCGCGGATGCCTAGATGTATCAGCACACACTGGGGTCCTTAGCACAGCATTCCCTTTCAGCGTTGTTTCTGTAGAACAACACTGGCCTCCTGTGGCTGGATTTTTAATCACACAAGTGTTCCCCCATGACACAAGTTGTATAAAGAGTTTCAGTTTGTAAATACTGGGGCAGGATGGAAGCAAAGAGAAAATGAAATAACAAAAAATAGAGCTAATCCTTCATGTTCGGCCCTACAATGAGGATGCGCAGCTTTCTGCAAATCTTGCAGATTTGGGGGTAACAATGTGTGGAGCACGATACTCTTAATCTTGTGGGTTCGAGCTCCATGTTCAGCAACATTTGGAGAACTATAGATTCCCCATCTGTGCTAAAGGTAGAGGTCAGCAAGCTTAATAGGTAAAATAACTGAGCAAAAGAAAGTGGGGTATTGAATATTTCCACCTTCTACAGCTGCACTGCTCAAGCTGTAGCCACCTCTCTAGAGTTTGCAGTATTGGGTTAATGCAATTTTTGTTGTATGAGAACAGTATGGGATCCAGAGAACCACAAGTCACTTTCAATTCATGCTTCCTTTAAGCTGATTTAGGTCATGCAGAAATGTTGGGTGGAATCTAACGTTAGTCATACTCTGAGTACACCCATTGAAATAATCTGATTATCAGACAGCTGGATTCCCAATTATTTAGAAGCAAATTTTTGCCCAGGAAGGGTACATTAAGAAAAAGATAACAACAGCCTCCGCTAGCAATAAATGTATTTCCACTACAAGTACTGGGGAAATGAACTTTTGCTCTACTTGTAGTAGCCTGGGGGGACAAAAAGTAGCCAAGTCCTGCAAGTTAAAAGTTAATGGATAATCTTGTAAAATAATCTAGTAAACTTTATTATGCATGTCTGAATTCTATTAATAGAGTTTGAGGTGTGTGTGTGCGTGCGGGAATCATATTTACTTTGGCAAGGTAGCCAGGCGCAGTAGGGGGTTTTAGAATGAAAGAATTAGATTTTGCAATGCTTTTTTTTTTTTCAGGGACAGAACGGAAAATAAGCAAGCATATACAGTATATAAATAAATAAATAGAGGGAGGAAACGCTCACTTTGGATGTAGTTCAGCAATGTTATTTTCTGTGGGGGGGGACATGAGGCAGGGGTGGCAACTTGAGTAAAATATTAAGGGGGCCCAGGTAAGCCCCTCCTCATAACTGATCACATGACACAGCACACATGCACCATTTGAATGGAATGCCCATCAACTTTGTGGGGGCCCGGTCCCCTCAGAAAATTTACTGTGGGGGCTAAAGCCCCCGCACCTTCTAGGAGTTGGCTCCTATGACATGAGGCCACACTTGTTGCAAAATTTACTGTTTACCATGCATTCTTGTGCATGGAATATTTGGGAGTAAGTTCCAATGAGTTCAATGGGACTCCCAGGTACATGTGTGTGTCTGTATGTGACGTTTTTGAATAAAATCAGCACCTCTTTTGAATGGTAGGGCCAAGAGAAAAAGAAACTCCCTCCTTCTCCCAATGGATCTCTCACTTTGTTTCTATTTCTGGACTCATTGATCATTTTATATCCCTCCCCCCACTCCACCCCCCCCCCATCCACTTACTCTTCCACAGCCTCTCAACCATGAATTCTCACATGATAAAAGATTCAACAAAGCATATCTAGTCATATTTTAAAAAGAGCTACTCAGTTATTAATGCAAGAAAATTGTATGAGATAATGGCACTGAGATATTTGAAGCACACTGCTACAAAAACAAATTGCAGTTTACAATTTGCCTGTAAAAAGGGGGTGAAACTGAACACCAACATTTTAATTTCAAGATCTATTCCAACTTATTCTAAACAAAGCAAACATATAAGAGAAGAATCATAGAATCATAGAATCATAGAGTTGGAAGAGACCACAAGGGCCATCGAGTCCAACCCCCTGCCAAGCAGGAAACACCATCAGAGCACTCCTGACATATGGTTGTCAAGCCTCTGCTTAAAGACCTCCAAAGAAGGAGACTCCACCACACTCCTTGGCAGCAAATTCCACTGTCGAACAGCTCTTACTGTCAGGAAGTTCTTCCTAATGTTTAGGTGGAATCTTCTTTCTTGTAGTTTGGATCCATTGCTCTGTGTCCGCTTCTCTGGAGCAGCAGAAAACAACCTTTCTCCCTCCTCTATGTGACATCCTTTTATATATTTGAACATGGCTATCATATCACCCCTTAACCTCCTCTTCTCCAGGCTAAACATGCCCAGCTGCCTTAGCCGTTCCTCATAAGGCATCGTTTCCAGGCCTTTGACCATTTTGGTTGCCCTCCTCTGGACACGTTCCAGTTTGTCAGTGTCCTTCTTGAACTGTGGTACCCAGAACTGGACACAGTACTCCAGGTGAGGTCTGACCAGAGCAGAAAGAACATTTATGGAGCAATTATTTATCCTATAATTATTCCCAATAATCTGAAGTGACCTACCAGTCCTTCCTGTCACGATGAACAGATTCCTTCCCCTATAATCTTGCGCATGCCATTCAGAGAGAATTTACAGAGTTCCATGGTAGTTTCCCAGCAGCCTTCTGTGGAGACATGATTAGGATTATGTTGTTAATTACTAACATAATTAACTTTTATAGTCATTTTAGGGAGCAATCCTATGCACAAGAAGCTGGCATAAAGCAAGCCGGTGTAAATTAAGTCGGCGTAAAGTACACCAGATCCAAGCTCCTCGCCAACCGAAGCCTGGCAGAGGGAAAACAAGCCTTTAAAATAGTGTTTGAGTCACACCACTCTGTTTTTGCCAGCTTAATTTGTGCAGGGTGTGCCAGATCGCATGACCAAGCTGAACGGGCTTAGGTGTCCTGTGGAGACATCTTGGAGGAGCTGGTCAGATCAAGCAAGGGGTGGGAGGAAGTTGGAGAGCTTGACTGTGAAGATCCTGGACAGTGGGATGTACCCCATGTTTCCGCTCTGTATCCTGCCCCAAACATGCCCTCAGAACGTCCCATTTTCAGGACTTACACCATTTTACGATCTGGCCTTGGGTTAGCCAGGATGGGGTATCCCAATATCTCCAGCTGAGCTGATGCCTGTGGGTGTGTTCTATCACCACCCATACTGCTGGAACTACCGTACTAAGAATTCAGTGAATCGGCCACACACTGACTTGGCAGTGGATCCCACTGAAATAAAGGGGGAAATATGACAGCGCTGGTCCCTAAAAACTGTTTTTTTTAGGATTGCAAGGCTGCTTCAGAAAGGGAACCAGGCTTCTAATGTGATGAAGCCATTCTGAAATGTAGAGTCATTGGTTTATTTTTTGGGTGACAGAATGGCAAACACAACTGCTGTCTATACTGATAAAGGCCTGACTCAATATTTAATCTCGCAGTGTCAAGGGCACAATGGCATGGTCCACACAATATCAACAGAGGCAGATGGGTACTTT